ATTATGGGAGGTTATGGGTTTATTGTGGGGTTTATGGGGTGATTATGGGGTGGTTATGGGGTCCTTAAGGGATCTATGGGATGGTTATGGGGTTCCTAGGGGGCCATGAGGAGTTATGGGGTCGCTTTGGGGTCCCTACTGGTCCCTACTGGTTCTTACTGGTTCTTACTGGTCCGTACTGGTCCGTACTGGTCCATACTGGTTCTTTCTGGTCCATACTGGTGCGCGCCCGCAGAACAAACACCCCAACCCCCACCTCATCACCCCCGTCCTGGAGGGAACCCGCGAGGTGAGCACTGCTCCGTACTGGTCTGTACTGGTCTGTACTGGTCTGTACTGGTCTATACTGGGCCATACTGGGCCATACTGGTTCGTACCGGTCTATACTGGTTCATACTGGTCTGTACTGGTCCATTCTGCTCCATACTGGTCGGTTCTGGTCCGTACTGGTCCATACTGGTCTGTACTGGTCCATTCTGCTCCATACTGGTCGGTTCTGGTCCGTACTGGTCCATTCTGGTCAGTTCTGCTCCATACTGGTCCATACTGGTCTGTAATGGTTCATTCTGGTCTATAATGGTCTGTACTCATCTATACTGGTCCGTACCGGTCCGTTCTGGTCCGTACTGGTCTGTACTGGTCCATACTGGTCTGTACTGGTCTATACTGGTTCATACTGGTCTGTACTGGTCCATTCTGCTCCATACTGGTCAGTTCTGGTCCATACTGGTCCATACTGGTCCGTAGTGGTCCATTCTGGTCAGTTCTGCTCCATACTGGTCTGTACTGGTCCATACTGGTCCGTACTGGTCCATTCTGGTCCATACTGGTTTGCACAGGTCTATACTGGCCTGTACTGGTTCGTGGTGGTTTATGGTGGCCTATACTGGTCCATACTGGTTTACAGCAGTCAGTAGCTGCTCATACTGGTTTGTATCGGTTTGTGGTGGGCTGTACTGGTTTATACTGGTCTGTACTGGTTTATATTAGCGCTTACTGGTCCATACTGGTTTATACTGGCCTATACTGGTTCATACTGGTTTATACTGGCCCACATTGATCTATGTTAGTCCATACTGGTCCGTACTGGTTTATGTTAGTCCATACTGGTCCATACTGGTTTATGTTAGTTCATACTGGTCCATACTGGTTTATACTGGTTCATACTGGTTTATACTGGCCCACGTTGATCTATGTTAGTCCATACTGGTCCATACTGGTTTATGTTAGTTCATACTGGTCCACACTGGTTTATACTGGCCTATACTGGTCCATGCTGGTTTATACGGGCCTATACTGGTTTATACTGGTTTACGTTAGCTCATACTGGTCCATACTGGTTTATGCTAATCTATACTGGTCCATATTGGTTTATATGGGCCTATACTGGTTTATACTGGTTTATGTTATTTCATACTGGTCCATGCTGGTTTATACTGGTCCATACTGGTTTATGCTGGTTTTCTCTGCCCCAGGAGCCCAAGGAGCTGCTGGAGTCGGATGGGGACAGAGAGGAAGGTGGGGATCTGTGGGGTGGGGGATCTATGGGGTTTTTATGGGGTGGGGGGGATCTATGGGGCCGGGTGGGATCTGTGGGGTTTCTATGGGGCCGGGTGGGATCTGTGGGGCTTCTATGGGGCTGGGTGGGATCTATGGGATTTCTATGGGGCTGGCTGAGGTCTATGGGGTTTTGTGGGGTTTCTATGGGGCTGGGAGGGATCTATGGGGTTTCTGGGGTTCTATGGGGTTTCTATGGGGCTGGGAGGAATCTATGGGGTTTCTATGGGGCAGAGGAGCGTCCTATGGGGCTGGAGGGTGCTATAGGGCACTGGGTTGACCCTATATGTCCCCACAGGAGCGGCCCCACATGCGACCCCCACGGTGGGGGGGGAAAGGTATGGCGCTTGTGGGGTTTCTATGGGGTGCTGTGGGGTCCCTATGGGGTCCCTATGGGGTCTCTGTGGGTTTCTATGGGGTATCTGTGGGGTTTTACGCAGTCTTACGATGTGGTGCTATGGGGCGCTGTGGGGTTTCTATGGGGTCCCTATGGGGTTCCTATGGATCTTTGTAGGGTCTCTATGGGTTCCTATGGGGTCCTTATGGGAGTCGTTATAGGATCTTTATGGGGCCGCTATGGGTCTCTATGGGTTCCTTAGGGATCCCTTTGGGGTCTCTATGGGTTTCTATGGGGTCCCTATGGGGTCTCTGTGGGTCGTTAAAGGATCTTTATGGGGTCCCTGCGGGTCTTATGGGTCCCTATGGGTCTCTGTGGGGGTCTCTATGGGTCTTTTGGGCTCCTTATGGGGTCGCTATGGGGTCTCTGGGTTCCTATGGATCTTTATGGGATCCCTATGGGTCTCAATGGGTCCTTATGGGGTTTCTATGGGGTTCACGTGGGTCTCTATGAATCTTTATAGGGTCTCTATGGGTTCCTATGGGGTCCTTATGGGAGTCGATATAGGATCTTTATGGGGTCCCTTATGGGGTCTGTGTGGGTCCCTATGAGTCTCTATGCATCTCTATGGGTTCCTATGGGGTCTCTATGGGTTCCTAGGGGATCCTATGGGGTCTCTATGGGTTTCTATGGGGTCCCTATGGGGTCTCTGTGGGTCGTTAAAGGATATTTATGGGGTCCTTACGGGTCTTATGGGTCCCTATGGGTCTCTGTAGGGGTCTTTATGGGGTCTTATGGGTCGCTGTGTGTCTCCACGGCGTCCCTATGGGCCTTATGGGGTCGTTATGGGGTCGCTATGGGGCAGCCCCCCAGGCTCGCGCTCGCCGTGGCTGTGGCCCTGCACGTCCTGCACCTTCCTCAACGTGGCTCCTGCTGTGCTCTGCGCCGTCTGTGAGCGCCCGCGCCTGGCCCCACGGCCTCCCCCTGCCCCACAGGTAACCCCCGCCCCATAAAAAACCCCATAGAGCCCCGTACGTCCCCCCCAGCCCATAAAAACCCCATAAAATCCCATACATCCACTTCCGCCCCATAAAAAACCCCATAGAGCCC